ATATATATATATGTTCGGTTACGCAGAAGGCAACAGATAAAATTGGATATTAAACAAATACGCTATTGCTACGATTAAAAAAGCCAAGATGACCAAAGAGCACCATATGCCCTCAAAATCTAAAAAACAGTAATAAACGACCAGCAAAAGAAAAAACAGGAAAAAAGGGAGATTAGACAGACTCATTCTAGAATGCAATCATCAAAACAGCCTTTTTAAAACAACTTTTACAACTCCAACTTTGTAAAGCAGTATTCAAAAAAGCAATAAAAAAAGACATGAGAAAAAAAATACCCAAGAAAAATAAAATTTTTTAATCGTACCTGCCCCCCTTAGCTAATAATTGATATAACTTATTTTTCAATTGTAATGGCAGCTCCAGTTCAAGGACTTCCTCTGCCTCAATTCTGCACAAATTTCAAAAGATTGATGTGAAAAAAAATAAAAGAACTATAAACATTTTCATTACTACCAGTCGCAGAGAAATCGATGTGACAGGTTAAATGCTCGAAGAAAACCAAAAACTAAGGTTTTTTACGGCTGCAGAGTATAACAAGTTCTGACAAGAAAAAAAAACTAAAAAAAAAAAGAAAAAAATGATTGCAGAAGAAAACTAGATCAAAACAACTCACCAAATGCAGAAGTTTCAGTGAAAAAACACAGAGAAGACTCGCTAAATAAATAAACAAATAAATAAATTCAAAAATAAAGTTTTATTTAAAAGTTTTTACTTAAAGTCCATTCATTATAGTTAAAGAATTTCTCGCAGAGTTCAAAGCCTTAAAATCGATCGAAAAGTGAACTGCAGTGAATTTAGAAAGGTGGCACACTAATAATCGGCAAACAAAAAAAGGCGACTGAGATTAAGAGCACAAAAGAAACAATGATCGCGTCACCAATTTATTCATTTATTTATTTTTTTCTTGAAATAATAACAAAACAGAACCAAAGAATGAGAAAGTTGGACAGAACCAAATAGAAAGGAATCTTCAAGAGATGCGCTATGCTTCAAATTGTCGCTTTTCAAAAATAAACTGTAAAATTTTCTGTGCGTTGCCTTCTCCACCCCCCCCCTCCCCAAAATCCTCTTAATATTCCCTTGTTTCCCTCATTGAATAGAAAATAGAGTCACCAGACTGTAATTATTAAAGATATTTAGCCTAAAAACCATATAACCATCAACTTACCATTCTCTCTCTCCCTCTCGCTCTCAAACAAACCTCTCATCTTTCAAGATAATATTGCCAGTAAAAACAAATTATAATACACTAACTACATATCCAAGAAAGGAAGGTGCAGCCAGCCGAATTAAGCGTATAAAACTTTAAGAAACTTCTTTCGACACTACAGTACGGCAAATAATAACCCCAATCAAAACAGCCCAAAAACTAACCACTATACAACTCTATAGCGTATATACTTGTACCAACTCCGACGAAGTAGCAATAAAACGTTTGAGATACAGAAACGTGTGCCATTAGAACATCCTAAATGGTTGTTTTGTCGATAAGACGGTCAATAGTGCACTAATGAACGCTCAGGTGCACATTCACAAAAAGTAATTTTAACTATAATACGCCCCCTTCGATAACTACCGAACGATGTATTCACTAAAAACAACACCACGACCACTGTTCCAAGTGATTTTGACAGACAGAAAATAATACTGAAACAGAGTGCCAAAAGTCGGAAATAATTATTTTGTCGCAAAAACAAAAAAAAAATCTACATCTTTTTTGACAATTTTAATTTACATTAACAAAATAGCTGAAAAAAAAATGAGCAAAACAGAAACGGCAGAACATATTTAGTCGAGAGGATTCAACAACAGGACACCTACTACTTATGTTTAATTTAGTTACATCATATAATCAATTGATAGAACTGCCATACAAGTATTGTGTATTCCACTTTGTTTTAATCTGTCAAAAAAATTGGTCAAAACTATTGAGAGCTAATCAACAACCCTGTACTGCAAAACCAAAATGTCGCCACGGCAGCGAAAATGAGAGTTCCCAAGCCTGATACACAGAGAGCTGCGGCCTTTTATTTATAACAAACAATAAGGTTCGCATGATTAGTGGATGATCAGTAAGAAATAAGAGAAAAATTTATTAATTATTCATGACTTTAAAATTGATCGTCGACTACGGAGGAAACAAACAGCAAAAAACCAAGTGCTAACTTTTTCAAAAAGCTATACACAGCCAAACTGCAACTGTTTCTTTTTACGATTTCCATTTTTTACTTTGCATCCGTCGCTTCATCTGTTTGCTTATTTACTTATTTATTTCTTTTTCCATGAATAAATGAATAAATATACATTTACTTATTTATTCATCTACTTATTTGTTTTTTTATTTTATACATCGTTTTGACCCATGAGTCAATCTGAAAATTTTGTAAAACTGTTCATTGTACAAGAGTATCATTCAGTTGCTATATTTATTTTTAAATTTCAGTAGTGGAAAAAAGAGAAATAAATCCTTGTATAAAAGGAGCTTTAATAACTAGCCAAAAGTATACTTTTTACCAATCTTTAAAAAACTTTTTTAAAATGCAGACCCAAAAAAGAAAAGTTTAAAAAGCCCATTACTGAACTGACACCAGAAGCTTAAATCACAACTGATGCATTCATGTGGAAAAATGATTAAACCACTGCGTTGAGATATGTTTGAAATAGCTTCAAAAAAATAAACCTTATGAACGGAAAAAGTGTAAAAGAGGTTAGCAGAAAAAAATCCAAAAATGAAATTGCATCCGAACCACTCAACTTTCAAGGAGACAAATGGATACACACATTCACACAGACACACAGACGGACAACGACACACCAAAGGAACAATAATTTATCGCAAAGGCGAAGAAAAGCAGTGAAATAACAACAACGACAACAAAACAGCCAAAAGACCAAACGTTTCAGCGATAAATCAGTTACTGTTAGGGACGTTCAAGTGGCATCCGGTCACTTTACAACTGCCCCTTTCCTCTCTGCACATTAGCTGGTGGTTTATTACCCAACTGTGGAGACAGCATTCGGACATCCTATTTTTCTCTCCGCTTAACGATCTAATACTCCTGCTCCTT